TTAAGTCTCTTCAACATTGGGTGGGGTAATGATTCATCTGGACTGCAACCCACTCGAATTCTGGACATGGGTTTGTTTTTATTGGTTCTTGGAGGTTGTCAGCCAGCACTCCTATTCAAGAGTGTAGTATTTGATCCACTGAGATAGGATTTTATATAAGATAGAATTGGACCCAGAGATTGACTTTCCAGACAGAGGTGTGCAACACTGGGCACTTGACCCGGAATTCTATCATATACCATACCACCTAGAAAACGCTGGCCAGGTACAATGATGAAATGGTGTCAAAGACACAGTTGAAGTGCCAGCTTAGAACTACAAGACGATGGGGTACCACCACCAGGAAGCATTTTGCACCTTAAATCAATGACCATATGTGGTTAGAATATACAGGTTTGGGAACTAAAGAGTAGACGTTGCTTCACTTATCACCACTCCTGGTGACCACGTGGGGAAATTATACTTCCTGTTTTCATAATTCTGGGTCCTGCAGGTTTAGAGCTCTTGGCTCCCAGATTGTCTTCACCAGGGAACAACACGAGAGTCCCATCAAATTGTACCCATAGCTGCTGCTTGGTTAAAGCCAAAATAATAATAATAACAACAAGAAACCAAGTCATCATCCTGACAGAGGTAATCGGCCCTAATTATCAGGAGGATATCTGGTCACTGCCATACTGTTGGTGTAGGAAAAAGTAAGGTTTTCGTCCAGTGGACTCACTTAGGTATCTTTTGGAAATGACAAACAAGCCAACTGGCCATGGCCTGAGGAAGGCATGGTGTCCAGAGGCTCAGACCTTTCAAAGATGAAGGTTTCAGCTGGGCTCGGTGGCTCAGCCTGTAATCCCACGCCTTTGGGAGGCTGAGGTGAGTGGATTGCCTGAGCCCGCGGGTTCGAGACCCGCCTGGGCAGCGAGACCTCATCTCTACAATAAATCCAAAAATCAGCCGGGCGTGGTAGCTCGTGTCTGTAATTCCGGCTACTCGGAAGACTGAGGCGGAAGGATCTCTGGAGGCCAGCAGGCGAGGCTGTGGTGGACGGGAGCGGCCACTGCACTCCAGTCTGGGCAACCGAGTGAGACTCCAACTCAAAAAAAAAAAAAAAAAAAATGAAGGTTTCACTCAGTCTACCAGGTAAGCTACCTAGATCAGCAGAGCTACTAGTTGTGGGTGATAGGAAATCTAAAATGAGTAGTACAGAACAGAGGTGATGAATATTAGTTAAGGCCCAAGACCAGCTCCAGTGCCAGGTGTGTAATGTGTTTCACTAATCTTCTTGCAAAGCTTCCTCAAGAAAAGCAGCTCAACATTACAACGAGAAAATCACTCTAGAATGTATTCATATGAAGCCAATGAACCTAAGCAAAGATAACAGATACTGTGGAGACCCACCAAGACCTTCCCCACTGTTGCCTCTTGGGAGCAGCTCTCATTTCTCCAGCTGCCGAGATTATTGGAGGCGGACAGCCCTGAATTGAGTTGCTCTCAGGCATACCCACGTTTATGTCCCTTCCAAGTTCATGCTCACATCCAGTAACAGGGTATAAGGACCCGGCCCCCTTCTCCTGATTTGTGACAATTCAGAAGAACCACCTGACTTCAAAACTCCAATGCGTTCCTCCGAGCCCTATACTATGAGTATATCACAGCCCAATTTCTCCTCCACCCAACCTTGCTCCCTGCACTCCACCCAAAGGCACAGATCCTAAGACCACTCCTCAAGTAACATCTTAGAGAATGCTTCCTAGAAAAACTGACCTGTGGCCGTGTGTTCTGTTATGCATATTTTCCCTTTTATTTCTATTATTATTTTTTCTTAGTGTGGACATATTTTTCTATCTTTTCCTTTACAGTCTCTGGCATTTTATGTAATGCTTAGAAAGGTTTTTCTCATCCCAGAAATATAAACATATTCACCCATATTGTCTATTTTTCCTTTTTTTTTTTTTGAGTCAGGGTCTCACTCTGTCACCCAGGTTGGAGTGTAGTAGCACAATCATGGCTCACTACAGCCTCCATTTCCTGGGCTCAGGTAATCCTTCCACCTCAGTCTACCAAGTAGCTGGGACTACAGGTGCACACCAACACACCCAGCTAATTTTTGATTTTATTTTTGTATAAATGAGGTGTCTCTGTGTTGCCCAGATTGATCTTGAACTCCTGGGCTCAAGCGATCCTACCTTGGCCTCCCAGTATGTTATGATTACAGGAATGAGCCACTGCACCTGGTTGATATTGTCTTATAGTACCTTTATGGTTTCCTTTAAAAACATTTAAAATTTTTCAATTCATTCATAATTTGGATGTGAAGACAGGTAGGGAGCCAGCTTTATTTATTGTTTTTCAAATGCTTAACTGGTTCTCTCCATACTGTTTATCTTAAAAGTGACTCCTCAAAACTTTGTGATGGTGCAATGTTTTTATTTTTTCCAGTTTCTAATTTTCAATGTGTAACTCATTTTTCTTCCATTATGTTTAGAAATTGAAATACTTAAATTATGAATTTTTCTCTAGGTTCAGTGTTGGCTGCATCCAAACAGGTTTTAATATGTGGCATTTTCTTCATTTTTTTTTTTTAGATATGATGCGCCTAATTATAATTTCAATTTCTTCATTTTTAAAGAACTGGTCATGTGAACTTTTTAAAATTTACAGATAGTAAGAATTTTATGTATTTGTAGAATCTATTTTAGTGTGATTAAAGAATCTGGTTTGCCCTTATTTCTGTTTCAAGATTCATTTAAATGTGAATGCTCACAAATCTGCATATCTACTTTGCCCAAGAGCCACAAGGGCTAGTTCTAAAATTGTTTCTTGTGTACTGCTGTGCGTTTCTTACATGAAATGTGCTTGAGCATCATTCTAGGGACTTTATGGCAAAATGTTGGCTGTTTAGATGACATTTTTGTCCCCGCGTTGGTTCTCATTGTTTCTGAGTTCCTTTGGAGTTAGAAGTGTCAAAGGATGCCAGGGACAACACTTCCCAACATACTTTTAGACTCTTCTTTTGAGAGGCGAAGACCAAGATCACCAGGCTTGCTCCAAGCCAAGCCAGGGTATTCGAATTTCTTTTTAAAATTTATTTATTTATTATAAAGACGTGGGGTACAATTGAGGGTTAGGTATACCAACATTGATCATACAGGTACCCCTTGAGGTATGCCCCTCCCTCCCCTAGCAGTTTCCCTTAACGGCCAGTCCCACCTCCCCTCCCCTGACAGTTTCCCACTACTGCCAATCACTTTCTTATAGCATAATTGTTCAAGGTCACCTTATGAGAACATATGGGACTCAGTTCTTTGGTTCTGTGATAAATCACTGAGTATAATCGACTCCAAATCTATCCAGGTTGCTGCAAAGTCCATACATTTGTCATTCTTTATGGCTGCATAATATTCCATTGTGTATATGTTCATTTTAAAAATCCCGACTAGTTTTGATGGGCAACACGGTTGGTTCCATGTTTTTGCTATTGTGAATAGTCTGTTTCCACTCTTCTGTGGACTCCTTGATGGGAGGGGGATGGTCTGGGTCTGGTGGACCCTAGCAACGTTCTAGTTCTGACGAATTGTCATGGATGGAAGAGGTTTGGGTCATGGATTTCAGATTTCAAACTTGAGTTGAGTGCAAACGTGAATGTCAGAGAAACCAGTCACACTTTGAATGCTTTGCTGATGTATTTATTTATAATTTCCCCTTTTCAGATGATGGAAAAGCAGATGGAGCCCCCACCCTACCCACCCCCAATAAAACACAGTCACAGATTTTATTCAGCATATAGAAGCATTGGGGCGTGTTCAAATTCATCTCACTAGGTTACCAGAGCCAGGAGAGGCTCGATCTTGGGGGCAGTCTGAGCACCTTAGGCCCAGGAATGGAGCAGGCCAGCACTGAAGAGAAGCTGCCATTTGGACCCCAGCCACTAGGGTGCCAGTAGAGGTGACAGAATCAAATATTGGTGAGCTGAGCTGCCTAGCCTTGTCATGTGGTCTGGAAGGCGACTGGCCTCCTGGGTAGCTTCCAGTGAGATTCAGTCCCATAGAAATCTGTGCCTCGGGGTTTCCATCTGCGCACCGGGGATAAGAAACCTGCCCTAAAGATGTCACAGGGCTATAATGAAATTCTAAGTAGAAATAACTTGTTAAAAGTGTTTTATCAGAGGCAAAGTGCCATACAAATTTTTTTTTTTTTTTTTTGAGTTGGAGTCTCACTCTGTTGCCCAGACTGGAGTGCA